ATATTCTAAGTGCCACTCCCTAAAAATCTCTCACCCAAGCCTTGGCAGTACTTTGCCAGTGGTGTAAAAAAGATGATTTTAGCAAATTTTTTAAAGCGCTGGGATTCTCTGAACGGTACTGAAGAGGAGGCTTCAGTTTAAAATCGCCAGTAGCATTTTCTCCAAATGACAGGGTTAAACAGTCCTTTATGGCTTTGAGGCCAGGCATTGTATTTTCTTTCTTGACAATGTATGTTTTACTAGGCATTTTGTTTCCAAAACAGGCCAGTTTTATCAACATTAAACATTTGATGAGAACTATAGTTTCCATCTTCAATAATTTTGTACAATTTTGCAACAAATTTAGCTTGTCCCTTCTCGTTTGCACTAGCAGCCTCGCTACCCACTTTTACATTGTGTAAATTTGCCCTACACCTATATCTTTCAAACCACCCATGCATGGCCAAAAAAATTTTATCGTTCAGTTTCACCTGTTGTCTGATTTAAATCGTCAAAACGACTACAGTGGTACCTTCGTTTACAAATTTTATCCGTTCCCAGAGTCGGGCCGTAAACCGAAACAAATTTTTCCATAAGAAATAATGTAAATTGAATTAATCCGTTCCACACTCCCAAAAATATTAACTTCAAAATACATTTCATACATAATACCACAAATATTTTGTTCTACAGTATGTACAAGTAATATCTTACCTTTATTGATGACTTGTTGGCATAAGGAAGATGGGAAGGAGTGGTGGTGTTAGTGTTTGGAAGGGGAGTCCACTTCCAAACACTTATCAGGCAGTACTGACTTCTCTGGGGTACACTCTCTCTCCCATATTTTGCAGGCATACCACTAGGACCTGGTTGTGGCTCGCTGCTTGCTTGTCTTACTAAGAATTTGTCTAAAGACACTTTTCCCTACTTTTTAACACTTGTCTGTAGTGAGATCACATTCATTCACTATGAATGATTTCTTGTTTTTCCTCTATTGTCATCCTCACATTTTTCTTATGTTAAATCTTCCACTGACTTTCATGGGACCTATTTTGTGATATATAATAATTACTTTTATGTTCAAAAAGCAGAAAAAAATGAAATTCTTAAAACAGAATTAAGCGCGATCATCACTAGGCAGTAGGCACTAGTAAACTGAAGCACGCCTTGACTGTGCCAGAAACCACACACTCTGTCGACCCATACGTGTATCAACAAACTCGTTGCCAACCGAGTCGAATTTTACGAAGAAATTGGGATCGTAACCTGAAAAATTCGTAAAGAGTGACAGTAGTCAACTGAGGTTCCGCTGTACATGTACAGTTTTGACAATCTGAAAATAGGCTGTCAAATTCTTTGTGTAAAATTTTACAATACCCACCCACCCTTTTAGTTCACAATACTAAAGGGTGGGTTGGTATTGGCATAAAAACACAATGCTCCACCATGTGGCTGCCGCACATATATTTTAGCACTCTGCCACAAAATTCAAATTGATGCTCCGGCGAGTTTGTACAAAAATTTTATGAATGAAGTGGGTGCAGGGGAACTTAAGAATGTTTGTATGGTTGAATGTTCATAAACTGGGGACGGCCTGTATGTTAAAAAAAAAAATACTATTGTAGTACTAATGAAATAATAGAAGCAGTGCTGTATACACACACATCACTTTGTATCACACTTCCATAGATAAATTATGAGCAGGAAAGAAAGTTATTCCAATTATGATCTGATGTGTACCGTGTGTGATAGTGCATTTAGTACTGCATGTACAGTGAATTTTGACCTATTTACCTTTATAATTGCTTTGAAAAGACAGAATAATGAATCTCGGCCTCGCCACGTTCTATTTCTGGATGTCGGAGTGAAGTATAACTGGGAGGTGCATGAACTCGTACAAGACTACACACATCTGCAGTATTGCAGCTTCTTAGACATATCTTCTTATAAGTTTAACTACCTCTTATAGTCTTTTGGGAACAAATTTTATCCAGTCATGCTTGTGTTTGTCAACATTGAGAGATCATAGTAACTGATGACGAGCTCTTACTGTATGAAACTATTTATTTTATTTATAGTTGTATGCACATTATCAGATTATTGTAGTTAAGTGAGGAAGTGTAGAGTTTTATTTGTCAAATTTTATGTAGATTAGTTGCCAAAAATGTAAATAAAATTGGCTTAAGAATATTTACTAAATTCAGTACCAAAAACTTTCTGTGATTCCTTTGTTATTAAAATGTAAAATGGACAGATTGTTGTATTTTGATTTACCTTAATTGAAGTGTACTCTCCTTTATTTAATGTGGCAGTTTATTTACTGAGGAAGCCAAAGTATTAACTAATGCATGTGGTCCCCTTTGTGGTGCAAAATGTCCTAGAAAGAATGTCTCTTTTCACTTGTATGTGTTACATAAGACCATAAGAACACAAGAGAAGTGTTAAGTCTGTAGACACTAACAATGCGTCATGTGAGGGATTCTAATCATCCCATTGATTGGTCTTCCTCCAAAATAATCTTTCCTGCCTCTACACAGGCGCCGTCTTGTTGAATCTGCTTTAATACACAACATACCCAATATGAACTTGAGAGTCCTGGCTTTGTTGCTGTGGACTCTTCTCTTTCACAGTATATACTCAAATGCTCTAATCTTTTTAACAAACGTGACCTAACATAAGCTTACCCTTCCATTTATCTTTTTCTCCTTTTTCTTTCTCTCTCTTTTCTGTTGTCTTCTACGTTCCCTTGCTATCCTCTAATTATTCCTATTACTATCTCCTCTTTCAGTGGTTGTAGTAGGAGCTGCCTCGTATGGGCCAATAGGCCCTTTGCAGTTTTTTTTTCTTATTCCAACTACTATCCCCTCTACTACACTTTGCTCCTCACCTCTCTCTTGCCTATTTATTGCCTGTCTATTTCATCACAATAGACTTGAGAATGGTCCAGGATGGACCGAAACATTGTCGTCCCTTCACTTTCTGGTGTGTGGTCTGGTCAACAGACCATAATTCTTATTAGAAAATGAAAGCGACTGGCAAAAGTGATATACTGTCTTCTTGAGGTTATCTTGAGATGATTTCGGGGCTTTCGTGTCCCCGCGGCCCGGTCCTCGACCAGGCCTCCACCCCCAGGAAGCAGCCCGTGACAGCTGACTAACACCCAGGTACCTATTTTACTGCTTTCCTGTCTTGTTTTCTGTTTTGGGTCCTCTGGTAGATTGAGAGGACACTTTTAAATTGACACTTTTAAACCGTTTTCTTGACAGAAAACCTTAGGATGACAGGCTGCATGGTGAGGGGATTGACTGAGTGATAAAGATTAAGCCACCCAAGAGATGACACAGGCATGAATAGCCCGTAAGTGGTACAATTTTTTTTTTTTCAGTAATTCTTTTCAGTATTCTGAGGTTGCATTTAATCATTGAGCTGTTATCGTGGGGGAGGATACTGCTTGACAGTCTTTGAGGGTGTCCAGCTGCTGGACACCTATTTTGACCAGGAGAGTGGCTGCGTTGAATGCTTCAGGGTGGCCACTGCAAGATTCAGGGACTCTTAAAGCTCTTCTAAGGTCATTTGTTGCTTCACATTCCAGAAGATAGTGAAGTAATGGCTTTTCTGTGACAAGTTAGGCAGAAGATGCACTCTGTCGGGGTTCACCAATCTCCCAGTTGCATCTGTAACCTAGACGTAGTCTATATAACCTAACTGCTATTTCCCTGTGGATTCCTTTTGGGATATTTAACCTTTCTAATTTGGTTACCTGAAGATACCATGTTGCAGAGGGCGAACCTTCAGCTATTTTCTGGTGTAGATAGGTTTTGTTGAGTTGAGAGTTTTTTGGTGATGTTTTTTTATGTTCTCTAGGCTGGGTTGAATTATTTTATGTATCACTGGATGACGAGTTGCCAATTTAGCAATTTCATTAGCTTTCTCACAATGGGATTCCAACATGGGATGGGATCCAGTTTAAGGTTATGTTGAGTCCTTTGCCTTAGCGACTGCTCCGAGATGCAAAATGGTGGTAATTATTTCCACGTTATCTTTCCACTTTTTGTCCTAATATTTGAAGTGCAGCTTTTGAATCTGTGTATGATTGCATTTTGAGTTTTGTGCAATCACATATGCGAATGCCTGTTGTATGGCAAACAGCTCAGTTTGGGTTGATACTTGTCCTCCCAGTCTCCAATATGCCTGTACGCTGGCCGTGCAAAGAGCAGCGCCAGCACTCTCATATTCTGTGTCAACCGATCCGTCTGTGAAGATGTGGGTGGCTCTGGTGAGGGGGACTAGTGCTCTAATGACTACACTGGCTATATAATTACTTGCTTGTCTTCTGGCATAATGCAAGAAAAATATCTTGAACCCTGTTCTCCATACGAATTATGTGGAAAGGTGGCAATGTAATTATTAGATGTGAAAATGAGTTTTAATGCAGCCATTAACTAGTGGTTGAGCAGGCTGAGAGGTGATGGTATTGCCTCCTTGTGTGCTCCCAAACTCCTTGACAGGAATTCCTACGATATCCCTGAGGTTCTTAAAGTAACTTTTCAGTGTTTGGGGAAGAGTTTATGCATTAATCTGCTAGATTCAATAGACACTTGCCTAAAATTACTCAAACCATCCTTCATTTTCCCTACACACAGCATCCAAACCATCCTTCATATACCCTTCTTGAGGTTATCTTGAGATGATTTCGGGGCTTTTTTTTAGTGTCCCCGCGGCCCGGTCCTCGACCAGGCCTCCACCCCCAGGAAGCAGCCTGTGACAGCTGACTAACACCCAGGTACTTATTTTTACTGCTAGGTAACAGGGGCATAGGGTGAAAGAAACTCTGCCCATTGTTTCTCGCCGGCGCCTGGGATCGAACCCGGGACCACAGGATCACAAGCCAGCATGCTGTCCGCTCGGCTGACCAGCTCAACCCTACACACAGCATAAGAATTACGATTTAAATTCAGGCAGCTCAGAATATGTTCATATCAATATGAAATGCAAATTGTAGGGAATTAAAACTATTTACATATTTAAGAGTAATTATTTTAATTTGCTACTTATAAAGCTCATGGACTCTGATCATCCATGACCATGTCCTCAATGATGAGTGCTGATGACTGGCTCTCGCTATGACTCAAGGAGTCCCCACCAACATCTGATGAATGCATCACTGGCTGACCTGAAATTTAAAGAAAAACTAGTCAATCATTGATGATTGCTTCTACTTCAGATCTAATTTCCTGATTTTACAAGCCTCTACGATTGTTTCAGTTGAGGGTGCATCATGTTTTGTGTCCAGTAATTACCCAAGTTTAGTTACAGGATGAGAGCTACAGTCTTGATGTCCTGTCTTCCCAGCACACTGTCTGCTTGATACCTACTTGATGGGGTTCTGGGAGTTGTTCTACTCCCCAAGTTTGGCCCGAAGCCGGGCTCGACTTGAGACATGTAAAGTGTCATATAACACTTTGAAATTATTGACAGTTTTGGACACCACTTTCTCACCTAACTTGTTGAGAGCGCCTAACACTGGCGGGTCTCTGTCGCTACCTTCATGCCAATGCTTCTCCACCGGCGGACACCTTGTGGGTTAATCATGGTGCTACATAGCACCTATTAATTAGGTGCTACTACATAGCCTTCCCAGCTTGGTGCCTTCTTTTGATAATTACTTACTGGTGGGGTTAATCCTGTATCCTTCATCCCATGTTCCAAGGCCATCCAAGGCATGTTCAGGTCGTCCACGATGTCATTAAGTCTATCCAACCTGCGGTCTACTCTCATGCCCATGACATCTGTAAGTATGCTGCTCTTTCAGCTGTTTTAGCTAATATATCCTGGGCTGATATTCGAGCACGGGTTCTGGAGGAACAATGTGATCTCGGCCGAGACCAGCGCACCAGACCCAGGATCGGCCCTGAGTGCCTCCACGTCCTCAAGCCAGTCTGAAAACAGCTTGAGAAGGGCCGAAGCCAAATGGCCATGGGAGCGCAAATCTTCAGCAACCAGGGCAGCTAGAAAGTAGGGAGGGAACGTGAAGCTGTACCAGGTTGACATTCCGAAGAAGGGCAGGGGCGAAAACACACATCGAGGTGCTCAAACTCGCCCCCAGGTAAACCTGAACCATCGTAAGGGGCCTCACGCCACTCAAGCGTGCGGGACTGACAATGTATGCCATGCCCCCAGTGAAAAGATAGCACAGTCTGCCAACCAGAACGACTCCAGAACCTTGTAATGCACCCAGTAAGGAAAGGAAGAACCAAACTCAAAAGAACCAGGATCCATTATTGAGGTGTAATCTGAGTCGCGCAGGAGGTAAGCCAAAGTTAACGAAAATCATAACAAATGCAGTGTTTCCACAGGGCTACTATGTAGTGAGGAAAGAGAGAGAAGGGAGAGGTGGTGGTGGTGTAGCTCTGCTACTAAAAGAAGGTTGGAGTTTCGAAGAGATGGTAATTCAGAACTGTGAAGGTTTCAGTGACTACATTTCAGGCACCATAGCAACTGGAGAACATAAAATTATAATAGTAGTCATATATAACCCCCCACCGAATGACAGAAGACCCAGACAGGAATGATAGAAACAACTTGGCCACCATCAATATAATAGAGAGCAGCTTCTGTGGCTAGCAGGAACGGATCCAGACTTCTAATCATGGGAGACTTCAACCATGGGAAGATAGATTGGGGGGAACAGAGACCCACATGGAGAGCTAAGCTGCTGGATGTGGCAATAAGAAACTTTCTAAGTCAACACGTCAAGGGACCGACAAGAATGAGAGGAGGGGATGAACCAGCCTTGCTTGATCTGATATTTACCCTAAATGAGTCGGATATAAGGGAAGTTAAGTTGGAAGCCCCCTTGGGAATGAGTGATCATAGTGTATTGAACTTTGAGTACCTGGTTGAGCTGGGAATTATCACCCCCAAAAAAGAACTGGGAACCAAAGGGCTGGCGTACCGAAAGGGAAACTATGAGGAAATGAATAAATTCCTATGGGATATACATTGGGACACAGAACTCGGAACCAAGTCCGTACAAGACATGATGGACTATGCCACCCAAAAATGTCAGGAGGCTGTAAGCAGGTTTGTCCCAGCCCGACAGGAAAAAACAGAGAAGCAAAGGAAGAATCCGTGGTTTAATAAGGAATGTATGAAAGCAAAGGAGCTGAACAATAGGGCATGGAGGAACTTCCGTAATAACAGAACACCAGAAAGTAGAGTGAGATACCAGAGAACCAGGAACGAGTATGTCAGTGTGAGAAGAGCAGCTGAGAAAAGGTATGAAAATGATATAGCTAATAAAGCCAAGATCGTGGTTTAATAAGGAATGTATGAAAGCAAAGGAGCTGAACAAAAGGGCATGGAGGAACTTCCGTAATAACAGAACACCAGAAAGTAGAGTGAGATACCAGAGAACCAGGAACGAGTATGTCAGTGTGAGAAGAGCAGCTGAGAAAAGGTATGAAAATGATATAGCTAATAAAGCCAAGATCGAACCAAAGCTACTACACAGCCACATCAGGAGAAAGACAACAGTGAATGAACAGGTGATGAAACTTAGGGTGGGCGAGGACAGGTACACAGAAAATGACAAAGAGGTGTGTGAAGAACTCAACAAAAGGTTCCAGGAGGTCTTTACAATAGAACAGGGAGATGTCGCGGCGCTAGAAGAGGTGGCAGCAAACCAGGTGACCTTGGATAGGTTCGAAATTACAAGAGATGAGGTCAAGAAGCACCTATTGGAGCTGGATGTGAGAAAAAGCTGTTGGGCCGGATGGAATCTCGCCATGGGTATTGAAAGAGTGTGCAGGAGCACTTTGCCTACCACTCTCCATAGTGTATAGTAGGTCACTGGAAACGGGGGACCTACCAGAAATATGAAAGACTGCTAATGTAGAACCAATATACAAAAAGGGTGACAGACAAGAGGCACTGAACTACAGGCCAGTGTCCTTAACTTGTATACCATGCAAGGTGATGGAGAAGATTGTGAGAAAAAACCTAGTAACACATCTGGAGAGAAGAGACTTCGTGACAACCCATCAACATGGGTTCAGGGAGGGTAAATCTTGCCTTACAGGATTGATAGAATTCTACGATCAGGTGACAAAGATTAAACAAGAAAGAGAAGGGTGGGCGGACTGCATTTTTTTGGACTGTCGGAAAGCCTTTGACACAGTACCCCATAAAAGGTTGATGCATAAGCTGGAGAAACAGGCAGGAGTAACTGGTAGGGCGCTCCAGTGGATAAGGGAGTACCTAAACAATAGGAAGCAGAGAGTTACAGTGAGGGGTGAGACCTCAGACTGGCGTGAAGTCACCAGTGGAGTCCCACAGGGCTCTGTACTTGGACCTATCCTGTTTCTGATATACATAAATGATCTCCCAGAGGGTATAGACTCATTCCTCTCAATGTTTGCTGACGACGCCAAAATTATGAGAAGGATTAAGACAGAGGAGGATAGCTTGAGGCTTCAAGAAGACCTGGACAAGCTGCAGGAATGGTCGAACAAATGGCTGTTAGAGTTTAATCCAAGCAAATGTAATGTAATGAAGATAGGGGTAGGAAGCAGGAGACCAGATACAAGGTATCACTTGGGAGATGAAATACTTCAAGAATCAGAGAGAGAGAAAGACCTGGGGGTTGATATCACGCCAGACCTGTTCCCTGAAGCTCATATCAAGAGGATAACAGCAGCAGCATATGCCAGGTTGGCTAACATAAGAACGGCCTTTAGAAACTTGTGTAAGGAATCTTTCAGAACATTATATACCACATATGTCAGACCAATCCTGGAGTATGCAGCACCAGCATGGAGTCCATATCTAGTCAAGGATAAGACTAAACTGGAAAAGGTTCAAAGGTTTGCCACCAGACTAGTACCCGAGCTGAGAGGTATGAGCTACGAGGAGAGACTACGGGAATTAAACCTCACTTCGTTGGAAGACAGAAGTTAGGGGGGACATGATCACCACATTCAAGATCCTCAAGGGAATCGACAGGGTTAATAAAGACAGGCTGTTTAACACAACGGGCACATGCACTAGGGGACACAGGTGGAAACTGAGTGCCCAAATGAGCCACAGAGATATTAGAAAGAACTTTTTTTAGTGTCAGAGTGGTTGACAAATGGAATGCATTAGGAAGTGATGTGGTGGAGGCTGACTCCATACACAGTTTCAAGTGTAGATATGATAGAGCCCAATAGGCTCAGGAACCTGTACACCTGTTGATTGACAGTTGAGAGGCGGGACCAAAGAGCCAGAGCTCAACCCCCCGCAAGCACAACTAGGTGAGTACAATGGCCTCCCGCAGGTCATGAGGTGGGATGCGTACCCAGGGGACGCATACATTGGACTACTGAGCCTCAGTGGGGGTTTTCAGGTCCCTTAGACACACTGCTAAGGGAAGCCCAGGCAAGGTACTGCTAACCCAGCACCCCAAAGTACCAAACGAACAACTAACTGCTGAACCCCCTACGATGTGTACATACACTCATGGGGGTACCTAAAGGAGCACCACCAAGAATACAAATAGATAAGGGTCAACAACACCAAGGGCAAACCCTCCAGCAGGCAGAAAACAAAAAGAAAATAAAACCCGCACAAGTACAACATCACATGCAGAATAGAGTCATCCGCTATTATATGGTGAAAACTAGTTGCACAGTACCTTGGCAACTGTGATAAAGTGTCCAGTGACAAAGCTACTTCCTACCCAGAGGCTAACAGGCGTGCATAAAACACCCCAGCTGACTCCAAAGGCGGCCAATAATCGACCACAACAGAAGTAGATCCCAAGCAACTTGTCGAAAGTATCCCCAAGCCACAAGGGTAGTACTTACAGGTCACCTACGGAAGGTAACCCTAGGCACATGCAGCCAGAGTACTGGTGAAAGTACTCCTGGGTTGCACACCACCACAGGACAAGATCACACCACAAGCCACAGCAGTGGAAAACGTCTGAACCCAGAGTCACACGACTGCCAGGTCTCGCATCAGCCACAGAACTGGGGGCGCCTACCTTTCTGGGTGCCTGACCCTGTTGATGGCAGACACAGAATGCTCCCAACCACATGGGGGTTTCTATAGGCTATTGCTCCTCGTGCCTCTCTGAAGGGGCCAGGTTCTGACTCGTGGTCCCCAGTAGGAATAAGAACTCCATTCGCTCGACTGATGCCACGGTCTAATACATTCATATCAGCCCAGATAGCTCCGGGGAGCCAACAAGAAACACGGTGATAATGACAGAAGAAAATGAAAACACAAGAGGCAGATGGCCATCCATGTTAGATCACACTTGCCAAGATGACTAGAGCATATGACTCTGTACTGAGAAAGGCAAGCATTAATACACAAAACCAGGATGAAGGTTTATGTTGGCCAGGTTTTGTATGAGAGCCAATTCAAAAATATGTAGAGTAATATTATCTGTAGAGTACAGGAAGGAAAGATTATTTTAGAAGAAGACCAAGATATAGGGTGATTAAGAGTCCCTACACCCGACAGAAGAGAACACTGTTCACTCAACACTCGAGTAGATACGAGAGAAGACGAGAGGCACACGTTACCTATACTGGATCCTAGGAGGTTGGTATCACTGAGGGGATCTTCAGCACAGGCTGGAGTAATATCGCTGGTGTTTGTGTCAGTTCCTACCAGCTCTGATGGCAGGTCTAGTTGAGGCACATTATCATCACCTGTAAGCACACATCTTGCCATAAAATACCACCACAGGAAACCAATTAAGACCATTAAATAATATCATTCAGAATGAGATAAATAATTGTGAAATTATGGAAGAAATGTTGAAGATGTCTGTAGATAGTAAATGAAGGAAACCCCGAGATGAAGGAAGGATGATTACAACTCTCAGCTTTACACACGCAGTAATCACACTAATGTGTTGTATCGTTGAGAAAATCCGTAGGAGCCGTGATGAGGATTTGAACCTATGTGCTGAGTATTCCCAGGGGCGTATGCCTCAGCGCATAAGTTCGAATCATCATCACGGCTCCTACAGATTTTCTCACTACTGTATCAGCTTTATTATTCACAACCAATAACTTGTAGTTGTATCTGCCTGCGATAGGCAACAGCTATTTCTCTGTTGCCAAGACCATACTATTAATGACTAAAAAGCACAACATAACTGTTGGAATTACTGTAAGGATGAATGCAAGAGACTTAACGAACAACGTGAATGAATATCCCGGTGGCGAAATTTGTCTCGTTGACCGTGAAGTATTGTTTGCCGAGCCTTGAAGTAAGAAGCAGTCAAGAAACTTACAACACTGAGTTGCATGTCAAGCTTGACAACACCAGTTGCTAAACTATAAATGAAACACAAATTGTCTCACTCCGAGTATGCACAGCTCTCCGCCATCCATCTCCGGATGGACGGCCCCAAACCTTTCCTTGATTTCTCGCCAACACCGAGAACTGTGCAAGCCAACTCATCTGGAGCCTTGACCCATCCTAGCTAGAGTGCCCATATAAGCAGTCTTCAACTTTTGTAGAGATGCTGACAGTCTTACTTTTATGTACAAGCCTAAAGTACATAAAAGTAAGACCATTTTTGGTTGGCCGTATAGTCGAGCTTCATTGACAACAAGAAGACAACAACTTGTCCTTGCCCAAAATGCTGTGCATAATAGTGGCTTTAAGCATTGTACGTACTGTGCTCAATCTATAAATCCAACAATATATTTGTATCTCACCTTGTATGTATGTACTTTACCTGAATAAACATTTGATTTGATTTGAACTAGTGCAACAGCAGCATCACTTTAACCTCTGCAGTACTCTCTATCACAACAGTTACATGTCTGAGGAACAGTCAGTTCACCACATCCAAGTTCTGGCCAGCAAATAGCTTTAGCTTCACCCTGTAGCAGTCTGAATGTCACCTTAGACTAAAGAAAGTATGCAGCAAATATTGCATCCTGACCCTATATTTAGGGTTCAAAATAAACTGATGATGGAAAACAGAGAGAGAGTGAGTGATAGGCAAGACCTAAATGTAGTTAAATTTTCATAAACTTATGGATCTCTTAAAATATAATTAATGAATGACACATAAAATTGCAAATTATAGTTGAATCTCTATTTTTTATCTTGTTACTGACAACATACATAACAATGCTTGCTCACATATGAGCCACAAGATTCCACAATAACTGTGGTTTAAAGTTAGTCTTCAAGGCTACCAAAAGTTCAAATTTACCCTGGAACGCTGGTGTCTGTGTCATAAGCTGCTCCATGACAGTTGTGAGGAGAGTGGTGGCAGTGGTGTCGTCTCGATGCAACGAGAGGGCTTTGTGCAGCGCGACCACGGCTGCTTCATAGTCTCCCAGGAGAGACTGGACGAGACCCAAGGCTGAGTAGGTTGATGATACGCCGGGGCACAGCCGCAGTGCCTGAAAGTAAGACACCAAAAATGCATCAGAGTATGTGACTCATACACGTGCCACACTGCTGGGCTGAAGCACACTGCCGCTTGCATGAACTCTGTCAGTGCCCGAATATTGCCAGAATTCCTCGTCCCATCATGGTCAAAGTATGTTACATACAATTTTTTTTTTTTTTTTCCTTCTGTGACCAAAGAATGCATTTTAACAATATAAGAAGAAAAAGAATTGGGGGGATATTTTTTTTGTCTGTCCACCGAGGGCTTGCCATATTCAATAGCAGCAGATTGGTTAAGCTCAGGGCAGCTACTGAAAGGGATTCCCAAAAGTATCATGAAAAATACATATAGATATAAGATGCATGAAAAGAAAATGAAAAGAACAACATGCAAGCAGACATAAGATTCATTAAAAGAACTGAGCTAGTTCACAAAACTTTAAACCATTTACATATATTACCTGTTGGTGAAAGTGAAGGGCCTCTTCATATTTCTGCAGTTTGCGGCAGATATGCGCCAAGTTATTTAACAAGACGGCCCATTTCTCTGGTACAACCACAACACCACTCTCCTCTACTAGTGCCACTGCCCGCCGCAGGTATACTTCTGCCGACGTGTATCTGTTGGCATCAAATGTTCTCTTCACACAACACCATAGTTGCCCCTTTAGTATCAATGCTTGCTCTAAAAACACTACCATCCATAAACATCATCTTTGCATACTTGTTCTATAAATATTAGTTTATGCAGAAGGACTTGATGCCACTGCCCAATCCTAGATAACATTGTGCACGAAGAAATAATTCAATACTACACAGGGTAACACACACAGAAATCCCAATAACGTGATATATCAAATGAACAAATCCACAAGTGCCTTGAAGAGGGTTTGAACCTATGTGTTGGATGTTCCCAGACCCATAGAGGGTAATAGTACTGCTTCTAAGAGCACATGTCAGTATTAACAACCACCACCAATTTCCTAAGCTTCACTTTGAAGTTTATATTTTGAAGAAAGTTTTTCCAGCACAAGTAAGTCTTGTACAATTCTTGGGTATATACTAAATTTCATCTCTAGCCAGCTGTGCAATATTCATTACGTATTTACATTCACTAACAGTTACTGTATTTAAAGGTGAATGGAATGGGTAAGATCCCACAACACCTGTGGTGACCGTGTTCTCCGTGTAACAAGAGGGGTTATGACACCTGTGGTGACCATGTTCTCCGTGTAACAAGAGGGGTTATGACACCTGTGGTGACCGTGTTCTCCGTGTAACAAGAGGGGTTATGACACCTGTGGTGACCATGTTCTCCATGTAACAAGAGGGGTTATGACACCTGTGGTGACCATGTTCTCCATGTAACAAGAGGGGTTATGACACCTGTGGTGACCATGTTCTCCATGTAACAAGAGGGGTTATGACACCTGTGGTGACCATGTTCTCCGTGTAACAAGAGGGGTTATGACACCTGTGGTGACCATGTTCTCCATGTAACAAGAGGGGTTATGACACCTGTGGTGACTGCATGTTCTCCATCTAAAGAGAGGGGGGTCACAGAGAGAAAGAGAGGGGTCACCACAGATGTTGCAACCTCTCTCTTTAGACTGAGAACAAACAAGAAGTACCAGTTGGTCTAGTGCTTCTTGTATGGTTCTATCCTGCATTTCCTTCTGTATCTTTCACTCCAGTATGTTGTTAACCTCTGAGGCACCTGGGGCTGATTCAACACCAACAGACACAGTACTGCAGCTTGGACAAGGCTGCCGGAGACAGGCAAAATGACGTCAACGGAGAGTCCGAATCCAGGCCGGAATCACCTAAACCGAGATTTCTGCCAACCCACAAGGAACCCCAAACTAAACAAGCTGGGAAAGAACCGGATCCCTGGCTAGCAAACATACAGACCGACTGGGAGCCCACACAAGCCAACCGACAAGGTAATCCAAAACTCGAACACTTAAGAAATGAAGACTGGTCACCATAACTCGAATCAAGCATGTGAAAACATGAGGAGCCAAAGTGAGTCCAAACAGAACCCTGAAACGGTAAGCCTGATGCCTCTCGACAAACCATACCCAATCCCTAAACCCTACACAGATTGGTAAGCACCAGTAAATATCCGGGAGGTCCAGGGACAACATCTCGGCATCCAGCTCAAGAGGAAGTCAGACCCGGAATAGAGAGTTTATCTGGAAAGAGGGGCAAGGAATAAACCAGTTCAACTGTGAAAGATCGAGAATGAGCCAGAGATTAAAAGAATTCCGTTCCGGGATAGGAAAAAACTGGAAGCCACCGAAGAGACGTGGTCGTTCTGATTGCACCAAAGTCCCCCTGCAGATGATGACCCAATGGAGATGTGGAGAGGAGGCCACACTGGGCAGGCCCAAAACCAAGAAAGGAGGAGGGACCAACCAACTTCACCAAAGGGTAACAGAAACAACCCGAAAGGCCCAGGCAAGCCAGGTTAGCTGCCCCCCAACTGTCCCATGAATGGGGCAAACCACAAAAGGGCCAGCACAAATCCTGAGATGCTGCCTGAGAAGCAGAGTGAGGAAGCAGTCACAGGAAGCACTAGCGACCCAGCCACTGCCTCCATCCATGGCCAACTTTGACCAACACCAATTGCAGCCTGTGTCTGCCTAGACCACTTTGCGAAATACAAAGACAGTTCCGAAGAGGCCGACAAAAAGAAGCAACAGAGGACAAACTGAGTCATGCATCCTCAGGAAAGAGAAACTGAGGAAAAGGCAAGGCAGAAGGAGGGCAAGGCCCCATGCCAAGAATTTAAAGAAAGCCTGCCGACATGTGAGTTGCACAGAGAAGAACGGGGCCATTGCATCCCACAGAATATGAACATACAGCTTAGGTAGAGCGGCTGACAACACCATGGCCGAGGTCAAAACCCCAGCAAGAAGACTACTTCCAAGCACACCCATGTCTTTCATGAGTCAAGCAGAATGCAGTTCAATGAGACCAAGAAAATGCATGACACAACCCAATTGCTAACAGGCACACATATCACCTGTCACAACTGACGTCAACTGCAAAAAAAAATTGCGCATGAAGCTGAAGCACTCCAACATCCCAGGAAAGACAGGGCAAACAAGCATTAATGGACCCTAAAGGAAGGCCCCGAAACATGCTCACAATCTCACGCCATTAAAGCGAACAGGTCTAGCAAAAACCGTGCAAGGATTCAGGAAAACAAAGGGAAGTCCACTAGCCAGGATGACACCGGAACCTTGTAACGCACCCAAAAGTGGAAAGAGGATCAGAACTGGAGAGGCTGGGCCCAGGCGACGCAAGAGCCGGGTCATGCAGGAGGTATGTACAAAGAGCCTTACAAGCCCCTGAAAGGGGGCACCCATGAAGAAGGAAGCCTCTGGAAAGATACCCCAGTGGTACCCAAAGGCACACAGAAGAGAACTCAGGGGGGGGGGGGGCAGTCTCACTCAAATCCAACTCATACAGGGAAGGAGGGGAATGAAAACCTAACACCCTACAACCAAAGACCCTCCACAGAAGGCACTAGGAACCACAAAGGTTCAAAGGAGACACACGGCTCCAATTACAATTCTTTCTGCGTTTCCTTGAGGGGGGCCCAGGTTCTGGCTCGTGGTCCCCAGTAGGCATAAAGACTCCTGTGACTGATGACCCCAAACTAATATAGCACTATATCAGTGCGGATAGCTTCAGGGAGCCGACAGGGCTCCCCACAGAAACAGAATGCAGAAGTTGTATACACGGACTTTGTAAAGGTATTTGATAAATGTGACCATGGAGTGACAACCCACAAAATGAGGTCAGTAGGAATAACAGATAAAGTAGGGCGATGGATATTCAATTTTCTGTCAAACCGAGTGCAAAAAGTAACAGTCAACCATATAAAATTAAGTCAAAGCACAGTTAAAAGCTCTGTACGTCAAGGTACAGTCATTGCATCACTGCTGCTTTTCCTTATTCTCATATCTGATATAGACAAAAATACAAATTAAAGCTTCGTGTCATCTTATGCAGACGATACAAAAAATTCAGCATGAAAATTACTTCTGTAGTAGACATTGAAAAATTACAGTCTGACAAACAAAAACACACAGAACTTACACTAACGTGATATATATCAGTGAGACAATCCACCAGGGCTGTGAGGTGGTGCAAACCTACGACCCCGGCATTGCCAGTCGCGTACTCTACCACTGTACCACCGATGACTAGTCAAAGTCATACAACCGGATCTCTACTGAGATCACAGGAAGTCTGGAGGCCCCTACTGAAGCCAGTCCAAGTGTTTACGTGTGACCCACAAGCAGTCGGGTGGAAGGGCAGTGGCCCTACACCACAACTTCACACACACACAGAAATCACATTAGCGTGATATATTTTGTTCACAGTCTGACCTCCTGTATTGAAAACCGCACCCAAACTTGTCCAATCATGTTGACAAAAATGAGTGCAGCTTATATTAGTACTGTGCAGTACAAATAAGTATGTATCCCTCTAGTAATAATTCTGATGAAGATTATAGCACTCGCTCCCAATTACTAAAAACAATAGACTCAATATTTGTTTAACATTAATAATAATGATTTTACTCACTCCTGGTTACTAGAAGCTACGACTCCAAGTTCATGTAAAACAAAGGGATCATCTGGTGCTATTTCTAAAGCCTCCTTGAAAAACTTTTCTGCAAACTTAGGGTTGTTAGTAAGTCCGTACTCCATGCCAATGTACAGTAACGGAAGATGACAGCCTTTCATAAGCTGTGCTGCCTTGAAGTATGCAGCCATTGCTTGGTCGTGCTCATTCTCTGCTGCAAATGAGTGCCCGTATGCTATCCATGCTGGACCAAACACTCTGTCCAGTGCCGTTGCCTTGCTCAAGTACCTGCGTGCCTGTTCATTTTTGCCTACAAACAAAATATAAATACATAGTGTCAAGGTTAAGGTACCAATTAATTATTAAGCATTGGTATAGGCAGTTGAGCATACTGTATAAAATATATATATATATCAGAGTAGACAAAATTATATTACTATACCTATAAGATAATAATAACAGCCAACAGCAAACCAAGCGAGTGCACTTTCGGGATACAGATCCACCAACTTATGAGCCAGCAGAAACAATGCTGCAAAACAATGAGCATGTTAATGAATAATAATACACACATACATACATAAATACATACCGTACATTCATATATACATAGGGGGGCTCGCGGCTGAGTGGATAGCGCTTGGGGCTCATAGTCCTAACAGTCTGGGTTCGATTCTTGAAGCAGGCAGAAACAGAAGGGCAGGGGTTCTTTCACCCTGATGCACCTGTTCACCTAGCAGTAAATAGGTACCTGGGAGTTAGACAGCTGCTTCAGGCTGCTTCCTGGGGATGCGTGTGGGCCTTTGTTAGAGAGAAATATGTGTAGCATGTATAACAGAGGAAAAATAGAGTGGTTAGAAAAGTTAGTACAGAATCCAAGAGCAGATAGCTCGATTCTTTAGACACAAATAGTAAATACATACATACATACATATGTATGTATGTTATAGTGGGAAAATGGAATGAACTTAAGGAGCAGGTTGTGCAAGCAAACTAGTCATAATTATAAAACTAGATATGAAATGGAAATAGGACAAGTGTCATTGCTATAAACAACTGGCAGCTAGAAAGGTGGGGTCCAAGAGGCAACACTCGATCCTGCAGGCACAAATAGGCGAGTACATATATACATAAACAATCTACCAAAAGGAATACAGAATTATAAGAACATGTTTGCAGATGATGCTAAGATACTGGGGAAGACAGGAGATGCAGACGATTGTAATGCCCTTCAAACTGATCTAGATAAAATAAGTGTTTGGAGCTTCAAATGGCAAATGGAATTCAGTGTGAATTCTGCCATGTTATGGAATGCACAATAGGAGAAAATAGACCACACACAACTTACAGATTATGTGGAAAGGAATTACAGAACTTTAATAAAGAACAAGACCTAGGGTTGGTTTTGGATAGTAAACTGTCGCCAGAGGAACACAAAGAACATTGTGAGAGGAGCGTATGTGTCGCTTTCTGACTTCAGACTTGCTTTTAATTATATGGATGGTGAAATACTAAAGAAACTGTTCATGACTTTTGTGAGACAAAAATTTGGATATGCAGCAGTTGTATGATGACCAAATCTCAAGAAGCACATAAATAAACTGGAAAAGGTGCAATGGCATGCTACGAAATAGCTTCCAGAACTGAAAAACGCAAGTTACAAGGCGAGACTAAAGGCATAAAACATGCCAAAACTAGAAGATAAAAGAAAAAGAGGTGATATGATCACCACTTATAAAATATTGTCCAGTACTAACAGGAATGGATTAAAATGCCAAAGAGGATTGCCTGAAACCAGCAACTTTATGAACAAGAGGTCATGGATTCAAGCTGAGGAGACAAATGTGCCGAAAAAATATTAGAACGTTTTCATTTGCAAAGAGAGTGGTAGACAGTTGGAACAAGCTAAGTGAGAAGGTGGTGGAGGCCAAAACCGTCAGTAGTTTCATAAGTGTTATATGACAAAGAGTACGGGGAAGACAGAACACCACGAGCACAGCTCTCATCCTGTAACTACACATGGGTAATTACACAAATACTATAGATACATAGATACATACATACATACATACATATGTCGTACCTAGTAGCCAGAATGCACTTCTCGGCCTACTATGCAAGGCCCGTTTTGCCTAATAGGCCGAGTGATTTTCTTTATTTTCAATAAATTGTTTCCAATTAGTTTATTTGAATTATTTTTATTATATTAAGAACATTATTATATTAAGACATTGTTATATTTTATTATATTAAGTCTCCGTGGTGTAGTGGTAAGACACTCGCCTGGTGTTCCGCGAGCACTATGTCATGGGTTCGTTTCCTGGCCGGGGAGGATTTACTGGGCGCAATTCCTTAACTGTAGCCTCTGTTTAACGCAATAGTAAAATGTGTACTTGGATGAAAAAACAATTCTTCGCGGCAGGGGATCGTATTCCAGGGACATGCCCGAAACGCTACGCGTACTAGTGGCTGTACAAGAATGTAACAACTCTTGTATATATCTCAAAAAAAAAAAACCATAAATTACTGACGTAGTTGTGTTAGTTTAGGTTAGGTTTAGATAGGTTAGGTTAGGTAGGGTTGGTTAGGTTCGGTCATATATCTAACGATATACGTATATAATGAAATGGGCAGTTTTATCATTTCACAAGAAAAAAAAATAGAAAAATATATATATTCAGGAAAACTTGGCTTATTAGGCAAACTGGGCCTTGCATAGTAGGCCCAGTATGACATTCTGGCTACTAGGTACAATACACACACACACACAAGTAAAAGTGAGTGAAAATAGCAGAGTGGAAAAGTTTGTTTTGATCTAGAACAAAATCAAAGATGGCCGCCGCCACCACCCCCACTGAGAATGTAGACCCACCAACAGATGATGGTTTCAAAGGATTCTCACCACAAGATATAAGGAAAGGAGGTGTTCTTGGCAGGTTAGAGATAATTGAGGATATGCAAAAGAAGTATGAAGAAAAAGTGCTTAAATTGGAAGAGGACAATGGAGCTCTTTGGAGTGAGCTTTGCACTCTAAAAGGGAGTATGCTTCAACAAGGTAAGATTATTACTGCATTAACAGACAAGGTAACAAATCAGGAGGAGCAAATCAAGGAACTAGTGAAAGAAAATGAGGCATGGAAAGTGAAGTGTGGTGACTTTGAAGAAATAAACAAGAAAATAGACTCATATGGTGAACAACTCCAAGTAAGCCTAAGGGCTAACATAGAGTTAGGTAAGGATCTCCAACTGGAAACTTCACTGACAACTCACATAGAGGAGGTGAATAAAGAACTAGAAAAGTATAAAGAAGAAATAAAAGCGACATATGCTGAAGTTGTAAAAGAGAACGAGACTATCAAAGAAGTGTGTTCGGAAGTCAAAACCAGAAATGACCAACAAGAAGCAGAAATTAGGCAAGCAATTAGGAAAGAACTGGTTACCAACAGTAAACTGGTACAAAACACTGCAGATAGAACTAAGTCCATAATCATTTTTGGATGTTTAGAGAAGGAAATTTCATCTAGGGTGGACCGAGCGGCAGAAGAGATGAAAATCATAGAGAAAATAGTAGGTTTAGGAGAAGGCTCAAAGGAAAATGTCAGTGATTTTAGAAGAATAGGAAAATATGAGAAAGAAAAGAACCGCCCCTTAAGGGTGACGTTTAATGGAGTGAAAAACATGATGGAAGTGCTAAGAAATGCCAGGAAACTGCAGAGTGATGAGGTTGGCAAACTTTGGTCAATAAGACAAGACCTCTCCAAGGAAGACAGAGAAAAGCTGAAAATGAACCTAATTGAGGCAAAACGTCTAAATGGGGATAGAAATGAAGAAGACAGAAATTCTTTTTTTTACAAAGTGACAGGGACTGGAAAGCTTGTGAAATGGTACATAAAAACAAAGCAACAAGATCAGTAGTGGAAGGGGGAGTAAAGAGCAAAGGAAAAGGGAACATGTTCCTGAAAATTGTATATACCAACATAGATGGAGTGAGCTCAAAAACTTTGGAGTTGCAAGATATAATCCAGCTTAGGGTTCCAGATATTGTTGCATTATCAGAGACGAAACTTGAAGGAAATATAATAAATGAAGTCATATTCCCAAGAGGCTATTCAGTTTGGAGACGTGACAGGAAAACTAGGAAGGGAGGAGGAGTGGCTGTACTGGTGAAAAAACACCTGAAGGTAAAAGAGTTAATATTTGAAAACCCTCGAGATATTGACATAATGGCATTGCAGGTCTGGAATCAGCATGATAAGCTGATAATTGTAAATACCTACAGCCCACCAGCAAGCAACACATGGACAAAGGAAGAACTGGATGACAAATGAGAGGGCCTCATAATGGTCATGAGAGATATTATTGTACAAGCAGATAAAGATAAATCACGACTGTTGATACTGGGGGACTTCAACTTTAGAGCAATAGACTGGGAGGCCTATGAAGCAAGAACGGAGGACTTTTGGACATGCAGATTTGTGAACCTCATTCTGGAGACATTCTTGTATCAACACATAAAGCAAGCCACAAGAATGAGGGAAGGAGATGTACCGTCAGTACTGGATCTAGTATTCACCAGGAAAGAAGAAGAGATTTTTGACATCCAGTACCTTCCTCCCTTGGGAAAGAGTGATCACGTCCTGTTAGACATTAAATATGCTTTAAGATATCATCTAGAAGAAAATGGGGACATTGAAACAGTTGATAAACTCGATTTAAGGAGAGGCAACTATGGGGAACTTCGAAATTTTTTTAATGAGTGTAATTGGACAGAATTGTTGCTAGGCAGGGAAGTAAATGAAATGTATGCCAAATTTTTAAAACTATATGAGGAAGGCACACAAACATTCATACCAAAACAGAGATGCAGGGCCAGAAAACAGGATTGGTTCGACAGAAATTGTGAGAGGGCAAAAGACACAAAAATGGAATCAGTATAGGAAGAGGCCAAACCCCCAAACATACCAGCGATACAAAGATGCAAGAAACAACTATACAGCAGTAAGGAGAGAGGCAGAAAGAAATTTTGAAAAAGGGATAGCAGATAAATGTAAAACAGAACCGGGCCTATTCTACAAATTCATAAACAACAAATTGCAGGTAAAGGATAATATCCAGAGGTTGAAAATGGGAAACAGATTCACGGAAAATGAAAATGAAATGGGTGAAACATTAAATGAAAAGTTCCAAAGTGTGTTTGTACAAAATGAAATCTTCAGAGAACCAGACACAATAAGAATTCCAGAGAACAACATTGAGCGGATAGAGGTGTCTAGAGATGAAGTGGAAAATATGCTAAAGGAGCTCGGGAAGAACAAAGCAGCTGGCCCAGATGGCGTTTCACCATGGGTTCTGAGAGAATGTGCATCTGAGCTCAGCATTCCACTTCACCTGATCTTACAGGCATCCCTGTGTACAGGAATCGTAGCAGACGTGTGGAAACAGGCTAACATAGTTCCAATCTACAAAAGTGGCAGCAGGGAAGACCCCCTCAATTATAGACCTGTATCATTGACAAGTGTAATAGTGAAAGTATTGGAAAAACTAATCAAAACTAAATGGGTAGAACACCTGGAGAGAAATGATATAATATCAGACAGACAGTATGGTTTTCGATCTGGAAGATCCTGTGTATCGAATTTACTCAGTTTCTATGATCGAGCCACAGAGATATTACAGGAAAGAGATGGTTGGGTTGACTGCATCTATCTGGACCTAAAAAAGGCTTTCGACAGAGTTCCACATAAGAGGTTGTTCTGGAAACTGGAAAATATTGGAGGGGTGACAGGTAAGCTTCTATCATGGATGAAAAATTTTCTGACTGATAGAAAAATGAGGGCAGTAATCAGAGGCAATGTATCGGAATGGAGAAATGTCACAAGTGGAGTACCACAGGGTTCAGTTCTTGCACCAGTGATGTTTATTGTGTACATAAATGATCTACCAGTTGGTATACAGAATTATATGAACATGTTTGCTGATGATGCTAAGATAATAGGAAGGATAAGAAATTTAGATGATTGTCATGCCCTTCAAGAAGACCTGGACAAAATAAGTATATGGAGCACCACTTGGCAAATGGAATTTAATGTTAATAAATGTCATGTTATGGAATGTGGAATAGGAGAACATAGACCCCACACAACCTATATATTATGTGAGAAATCTTTAAAGAATTCTGATAAAGAAAGAGATCTAGGGGTGGTTCTAGATAGAAAACTATCACCTGAGGACCACATAAAGAATATTGTGCAAGGAGCCTATGTTATGCTTTCTAACTTCAGAATTGCATTTAATTACATGGATGGCGATATACTAAAGAAATTGTTCATGACTTTTGTTAGGCCAAAGCTAGAATATGCAGCTGTTGTGTGGTGCCCATATCTTAAGAAGCACATCAACAAACTGGAAAAGGTGCAAAGACATGCTACTAAGTGGCTCCCAGAACTGAAGGGTAAGAGCTATGAGGAGAGGTTAGAAGCATTAAACATGGCAAAACTAGAAGACAGAAGAAAAAGAGGTGATATGATCACTACATACAAAATAGTAACAAGAATTGATAAAATCGACAGGGAAGATTTCCTGAGACCTGGCACTTCAAGAACAAGAGGTCATAGATTTAAACTAGCTAAACACAGATGCCGAAGAAATATAAGAAAATTCACCTTCACAAATAGAGTGGTAGACTGTTGGAACAAGTTAAGTGAGAAGGTGGTGGAGGCCAAGACCGTCAGTAGTTTCAAAGCGTTATATGACAAAGAGTGCTGGGAAGACGGGACACCACGAGCTTAGCTCTCATCCTGTAACTACACTTAGGTAATTACACACGCTCAAGGAGCTCGGTAAGAACAAAGCAGCTGGCCCAGATGGCGTTTCACCATGGGTTCTGAGAGAATGTGCATCTGAGCTCAGCATTCCACTTCACCTGATCTTTCAGGCATCCCTGTGTACAGGAATCGTAGCAGACGTGTGGAAACAGGCTAACATAGTTCCAATCTACAAAAGTGGCAGCAGGGAAGACCCCCTCAATTATAGACCTGTATCATTGACAAGTGTAATAGTGAAAGTATTGGAAAAACTAATCAAAATTAAATGGGTAGAACACCTAGAGAGAAATGATATAATATCAGACAGACAGTATGGTTTTCGATCTGGAAGATCCTGTGTATCGAATTTACTCAGTTTCTATGATCGAGCCACAGAGATATTACAGGAAAGAGATGGTTGGGTTGACTGCATCTATCTGGACCTAAAAAAGGCTTTCGACAGAGTTCCACATAGGTTGTTCTGGAAACTGGAAAATATTGGAGGGGTGACAGGTAAGCTTCTATCATGGATGAAAAATTTTCTGACTGACAGAAAAATGAGAGCAGTAATCAGAGGCAATGTATCGGAATGGAGAAATGTCACAAGTGGAGTACCACAGGGTTCAGTTCTTGCACCAGTGATGTTTATTGTGTATATAAATGATCTACCAGTTGGTATACAGAATTATATGAACATGTTTGCTGATGATGCTAAGATAATAGGAAGGATAAGAAATTTAGATGATTGTCATGCCCTTCAAGAAGACCTGGACAAAATAAGTAGATGGAGCACCACTTGGCAAATGGAATTTAATGTTAATAAATGTCATGTTATGGAATGTGGAATAGGAGAACATAGACCCCACACAACCTATATATTATGTGAGAAATCTTTAAAGAATTCTGATAAAGAAAGAGATCTAGGGGTGGTTCTAGATAGAAAACTATCACCTGAGGACCACATAAAGAATATTGTGCAAGGAGCCTATGCTATGCTTTCTAACTTCAGAATTGCATTTAAATACATGGATGGCGATATACTAAAGAAATTGTTCATGACTTTTGTTAGGCCAAAGCTAGAATATGCAGCTATTGTGTGGTGCCCATATCTTAAGAAGCACATCAACAAACTGGAAAAGGTGCAAAGACATGCCACTAAGTGGCTCCCAGAACTGAAGGACAAGAGCTACGAGGAGAGGTTAGAGGCATTAAATATGCAAAAACTAGAAGATAGAAGAAAAAGAGGCGATATGATCACTACGTTCAAAATAGTAACAGGAATAGATAAAATTGATAGGGAAGAATTCCTGAGACTCGGAACTTCAAGAGCAAGAGTGCGATGTGAGATTTAAGATTAACGAGATTTAAGTGAGATTTAAACTAACGAAACAAAGCTGCCGGAGAAATATACGAAAATTCACTTTTGTAAACAGAGTGGTAGACGGTTAGAACAAGTTAAGTGAGAAGGTGGTGGAGGCCAAAACCGTCAGTAATTTCAAAGCATTATATGACAAAGTGTGCTGGGGAGACGGGACACCACGAGCATAGCTCTTATCCTGTAACTACACTTAGGTAATTACACTTAGGTAATTACACACACAGACAGACAGTTGGTGTGGGACTACACTTGCATTTCAACTTTAGCCAATACCTATGTTGACTTCAGTGCTACACAAGCAGGAGGAGCTGCCAATCACCGGGAAGCGACCAAATCCCATAAATACAGAGACCTTGAGCACCACTACAATTTTGTCCCCATTGCCTCAGAGACACTTGGTGCCTGGGGTAAAAGTGCTGCTAGCATTTTGAAGGAGTTGGGGTCTAAGCTAATCGAAACAACTAGAGACCCTAGAGCTGCCAGTTTTCTTTTTCAGTGCCTTAGTGTGGCAATCCAGAGAGGAAATGCTCACTGCATCCATGGTTCCTGCCCGCCATCTGAGGAGCTGGAGGAGCTATTCAACTTGTGACAAGCAGCCTTGTACCCTGCATGTAATCAATATTGTAACTTGTTCTGTGTAATGACATTTTCAAATAAAGTTAGATAAATATACACACATACCAAAAGAATAGGGGTGGTAGGAGAAGAAAATATCAAAGTGTTCAATGAGGATCCACAAGGTCTTTTCTGAGTACTCTTTATTTTCTTCTCCGAGGCTATGGGTCCCTACACTTGCACCAGAGGTGGTACCCCTTCTAGGTATATAAAACAAATAAATAAATAAATAAATAAATAAATAAAAAATTAAATTAAATTAAATTATATATATATATATATATATATATATATATATATATATATATATATATATATATATATATATATATATATATATATATATATATATATATATACATACATACATACATACATACATACATACATACATACATACATATATATATAATGTCGTACCTAGTAGCCAGAACGCACTTCTCAGCCTACTATGCAAGGCCCGATTTGCCTAATAAGCCAAGTTTTCATGAATAAATGGTTTTTCGACTACCGAACCTACCTAACCTAACCTAACCTAACTTTTTCGGCTACCTAACCATAACCTATAAAGATGGGTTAGCTTAGGTTAGGTTAGGTAGGGTTGGTTAGGTTCGGTCATATATCTACGTTAATTTTAACTCCAATAAAATAAAATTGACCTCATACATCATGAAATGGGTAGCTTTATCATTTCATAAGAAAAAAATTAGAGAAAATATATTAATTCAGGAAAACTTGGCTTATTAGGCAAATCGGGCCTTGCATAGTAGGCTGAGAAGTGCGTTCTGGCTACTAGGTACGACATATGTATATATATGTATATATATGTATATATATATATGTATATATATATATATATATATATATATATATATATATATATATATATATATATATATATATATATATATATATAAATAAAATAGCTGAAAAATTGTGTGACCAATGAGCCAGGTGACACCTAGAAATCTGACTACGTACAACAATTATTTTTCCGGCTCTAACCAGACATGCCAATTTATTTATTACTACAGTTTACTGTTTAAACAAATAATGAATCACATTTGCAGTAGCTTAAATCACTATTAACACTCAAACTTTCAATGTATTACTGTAAAAGTTTTTGCAATATAAACTCTGATTCTTCAAGTTTTCTTTTAATCTACCATATAATACTATAGCTGAAAGTGCCTGAAACATATCATTACTGTACTTTATTTTGAAAGTGGCACAGTTTAGGTTACAGATGTTCAGATTACAGACTGCACTGTGCCAACACTTGTCAAGTTTTTATAAATCCGTAAATATATTTCTGGGCGAGACCCAGTGGCTCCATGAAGTTATCTCTCTGAAAGAATGTTTAGCTTCGAACACTTACTATTGGACTGCTTGAGTTCCACCAAACAAGAAACATGGATTGGCAAACATCCCGTGTGGTACGGATCTTTCTTCAGTACTCTGAAAAGAAATGTGTAAGGTATACACATTTATACGTTACATGATCAATTACACGTGATCATATCCCTGTAGCATACTTAAAACAATTCTATGAACTGGATGCCATAAACGTCTCCTCAATCTGAATCACAAGTGCCCATGCATAATCTCTACCATCAAATACTTATTAGATTTCCTCAATTTTCTATAACAAAAAAAGTTTGAAATATCACGGGGGTTTTTCCTTCCGTTGTGACAGTGTTTTCTTCCCCATGATCACAGATGCTTTAAACAATTCCCACCTTAATGAGACGTACTGAATTCCCCCCAAGAAAAAGTGAAAAGGGAATTGAAACTTATGGTTCATCACTAATGTTTATCTAAGTGTTTAAGGCCGCTAATGATAAGGATTAGCTCTGTGGCATCCTCCACCCTACGTCACTATCATATGTAAGGTCTTGCTCCTCCTTACTGTCTTACTTGACAGCTATGATGCAAGTTCTGGTGTCTCCTGGGTTCTATTTGTAGTGTTTGAAGGACATGTTGGTAACTGTGCAGTATTATGACAAGCAAGTAGGCAAGCAACTATCAAAAGAAGGCACCAAGCCGGGGAGAGCTAATGTAGCACCGTCAAAAGTGTGGAATATTCAATAGGCACTTAATATCACTAAGGATGCCAATGCGCATAAGGCGAACAACATTAAAGGCATCCATTTCACCAGGGATAGTATCGAGGGACAAGTGACCGCGAGGGACGGTCGGGAAGCAAGATGCCCGCACGTCCTGGAAGCCAGGACAATCAACAAGGATACAATACAATTCGAACAATAATTATGACAAACAAAATAATGTGATGCATTAAATATTATCTAGTTACATGACTCAGACCTGCAAATGATTATTACCATACATTATATCCTTAGAGTGATGGTATACCAAATACAGAAATAAGTCATTAGCACTCTCTATGTTACAATGTTTAAGAGTTCCTGGATGATGCATAAGGATAGAGTACAGACAGTACTCACTTCACGATGGTGGTCCGGTGTACATAAGGATAGAGTACAGACAGTCCTCACTTCACGATGATGGTTCAGTATACCTGTACCTGGACTCTACTCGGACGGGGTTCTGGGAATTCTTCAACTCTCCAAGCCCGGCCTGAGGTCAGGCTTGACTTGTGAGAGCTTGGACTAACAGGCTGTAGCTTGGACTAACAGGCTGTAGCTTGGACCGGCCCACAGGTCCAAGCTGTGGTTCCACAGGACCAACTGGGATCCACTATGCCCAGTTGGTCTAGCATTTGCAAAAAACTGTGTCCACTTTTTTCTTGAAGACTTCTACCTTTGTTTTGGCAATGTTTCTTATGCATGCCGGGAGGATATTGAACAACCAGGGGGACCTCTGATATTCATAGTGTGTTCTCTGCAAAAGTCCGTGTATGCCACATCTTCATTTTGCTTTTCTTCTAATGCATCGGTGATTTTGTATTTGTGGTCGAGTAGCTGCAAAAGGCACAATCTCCTCATTCTAAATAAATCCATGTTGGCCTGGATTGTGGAGGTCATTGGTCTCTATAAAACTGGAGATCTGACTCATGATCACTCTCTCAAAAACGTTTTAACATGTGGCACATGAGTGCTGCATGTTAATAATACTGCATAATGTATTACAGTACACATGTAGAGAAAGGTTGCAATGCTCCGCTGTAGGGCGTGGCCCAATCCCTCGCTCCAAGTGATCCACTCCCTCACCCTGAGTGGCCCATTCCCACTAACACAGGCCTGAGTGGCCTGCTCCTTCACCCCGAGTGGCCCACTCCCTCACCCCGAGTGGCCCACTCCCTCACCCCGAGTGGCCCACTCCCTCACCACGAGTTGCCCACTCCCTCACCACGAGTGGCCCACTCCCTCACCACGAGTGGCCCACTCCCTCACCACGAGTGGCCCACTCCCTCACCACGAGTGGCCCACTCCCTCACCACGAGTGGCCCACTCCCTCACCACGAGTGGCCCACTCCCTCACCACGAGTGGCCCACTCCCTCACCACGAGTGGCCCACTCCCTCACCACGAGTGGCCCACTCCCTCACCACGAGTGGCCCACTCCCTCACCACGAGTGGCCCACTCCCTCACCACGAGTGGCCCACTCCCTCACCATGAGTGGCCTGCTCCCTCGACATGAGAGGCCCGCTCCCTCCCCATGAGTGGCCCAGTCCCTCATCACGAGTGACCCAGTCCGTGACTGTGACTGTATACAAAACATTCTAAGGCCTTATGAATAAATACAGGTACGTAGATGGATATACTAACTCTTGCGTTAATCTGTAACACTGAGCAAAATTACAGTTATAGTAAAGTTTTTCGGCCTGCGCTGTGATGAAGTCTGCATTTGATGCTAAGGGACCCACAGGCTGTGGAAGTGGCTGGCTAGGGCAGCTGTACTTATTGACCCTCGTCTCGTACACGGCCATTACTACTGCACTTTCTGGCTCGCTGCATGTCCTGGATAGTGGAAGTGACGACAAGAGATCCCTTTCTGCAAAGACAATATCCACCATATGTAAATTTAGGGAATGACTTACTTTATGATAAATACTTCATAGCTCTTGACAAATGATCTATAAATAATTTAGACATCAATACATAAGAAAGAGAAATATGACTAAGAACGGAAAATCCAGACCTCAGCACAATGAAAGGTATAACAATAGTTTTGTTTCTTACAGTTCAGCATTCAATCCCCCAACCGTCTGAATGGTTGGGCAATATCCCTTCTTTCCGTTCTATCCAAAATCCTCATTCTCATCCCTTCCAAGTGCTGTATAGTCATATGGATTAGCACTTTCCCCTTATATTTACCTTACCTCAGAAATCCAGAAAAGAATTTGATACCATAAAACCAGTGTTGAATGTAATGAAACGCCATTTTCTGGGAGAGACCCGGAGGCTCCTCGGAGCTATCCAGGCTGATACGGATGTACAATATAAGCTTTGGGCATCAGTCAATGTACATGGAGTTCTAGGCCTACCAGGGACCATGAGCCAGAACCTGGCCCCCCTCAGAGAGGCATGAGGAGCAATGGCCTATAAAGACACCTTATATATAGTTTAGAGATACATACTTTGTCTTCCATCGACCAGGTCGGGCACCCAGAAAGATAGCGCCCCCAAAACACTCCCCCCCCCTTGCCGGCTACCCCAGCCTGTCAGTTCTTAGACTGGATGTCAAAACACTCAAAAAGAACCGCCGACTGGAGGGAGGGAGGGAGGGATGCCAGGGAGTCTCCGGGTCTCACCCAGAAAATGTCATTTCATTACATTCAACGCTGGTTTTCTGGTGGGAGCCCCTTCGACTCCCCAGAGCTAACCACCCAAAGACAAGGACAAAAGAGGGACAACTTGGGAGGCGGAAACCAAGCACCTGAGACCCGAAGCAAGACAACTGGCAACACCAAACGACCACGTGGACGACCTGGGAGACCCGAACCCTGGAAAGGGATGAAGGAAACCCAGGCAACGCAAAGTGCATCCAGGGCCACAAGGGTCAAGGCACGCAGGCAATGGCTGAGAGCCACAGCTGGACACAAGAAGATGCACCCCCGGTCAAACCAATCAAGGATCAACAACCCCTCTGGAAAACAGCTGGCCCAACCTCGCCAGAAAAAAAAAAGAGACGACTGCAAAGGAACAAACCGGACACCATAACCCAAAGGAGCAGAAAACTCGAGCTCGGATAAACAACCCTGAACCAAAGGAGCCACAGGGACGTGAGAAAGAACATGCGCAGCGGCAGAGTAGTTAACAGATGGAATGCATTAGGCAGAAATGTGGTGAAGGCTGATTCCATACACAGTTCCAAATGTAGATACAATAGAGCCCAGTAGGCTCAGGAATCCGTACATCAGGTGAATGATGGGTGAGAGGTGGGACCAAAGAGCCAGAGCTCAACCCCCACTAGCACAACTAGACGACTACAACTATATGAGTACAACTAGGCGAGTACAAGAAACCGAGGGGAACGAGAAGAGAGCCCCTTGGCCAAGACCAGGATGGCTCAAGCTGTGCATGAGCCGGCTGGGGGTGAAACAACACCTGAGACAGCCTGTGAAACAGTGCAGAAGAAACATCAAATCCGAAAGCAAGCCTGAGCGGCTCCTCCAGCGCCGCACGAGACATGGCGAAGCACGCAGGTGGGACACCAGCAACAAAAGTCACCTGACCACCAAACAGATGGTGAAAGACCCAAGTCAAAAGCACCAAACGTGAAGACTCGAGGAGAAAATCGAACCAGCCACGTAACGGACCGGACCGAGCATTTGAAAGAGGTGGAGTTGTGGGAAAAACCATTGGAAAAACCCTTGGCGTAGACACTGAGCAAGCAGCGCCTGAACCAAGGTGCAGGGAACCAGATGGAACCACCGCTAGGTCATCAGAAATCTGAACCCGGCGAGCTGGAATAGAACCAAATCCCTGGCGAGCAGGACAGCTCCGTCCGGGAGAAACCTCCCCCTGGAACCACCAAAGAAACAACAAGTCTGACACGGACGACAACTAGAAGCTGCTGCTTGCAGAAACTGCCCAACCGCAGACTCCACAAACAGCTAGGACAATGGCGACAAAAACCGAAGAGTATGGGCCCAGGCAGAAGCCAATGAGAAAACGAGCACCACTACCCAACAAGCGAAACGTGAAGCGAAAAATGGCGACACTGCATCCCGCAGGAATGGCAGGAACAGCTCCAGCAGAGCAGACGACGCATTCACCACCGATGTATGGAGAACACTAGAGGACATGTACTGCACGAAAATACAAAGATTCAGTAAGTAAAATACATACAAAAAAAAGTCCGCAGCCAGGGCTGGAAACCCTGGCACTTCTCGTCCTAATGACAAAGAACAGTAGGGGGCAGGAGTAGGCAAGACGAGAACTACCTCCACCTGCTGACTGGGCGACAAAGCAGCCCATAAGATCATACAAGGAGAAGATGAAAGACCACAGATCTACAACCGAATACCGGCACTGTGCAGGATCAGGGATCCGAACACATACATAGTCTAGCCTAGCACTATTATTAGTACAGCCAATATGCACACTAATAAACACAAAGTGGATAATAGAGGTAAAAAGTATGCAAATGTGCAATGAAAAGACCATAAACATGGCCCAAGAACCAGTAATGAGGGACAAGAGAGAGAGTAATCAAGAGAATGAAGCAACATGACGTAAGTAGCAAGTGGAAATGTAATGTATATGAACTAATACATATACAGAACGATGCCAAGACATATAAAAGGGGACAGTCAGGCATTGAAAGACAGTCAAAGAATGAGTGGCCAGAGTGCAGTGAATGAGTGCCAAATGAACAAGTGTTCAGGCAAGAAAAGATTCAGTCGCTGAACGAAAATCGGGGCCAAGTCCCACAGTGTAACGAATAAGATGGACACAGAACGGTTACGTTAACACTTTGATGCTCTGGGCACGCATGCACCGCACTACTCCGGGTGGGTTTGGGCATTCTGCGGGAGCGTGCGGTAATTCTGAAAAGTGTACAGTGTGTCCTCACTTGAACGAACTATATGGGGCGAGGCCGATTCGTTCCAGTGGGGAATTCGTTCCATCCGTCTAAATCTAGCAATAAATTGTTACTGTGTCTTACTGTACTTTCCTAAACAGTCGAGTTGTGTAGTGCAGACTTTTAGCCTCAATACCCTGAGAGTGCCAGATATGATATGAATATAAAATCATTAAGGAACAGTAACTTTTCTAACAAATGTACATTATACACTACAGTCTGTACATAAAGTACAGACCATTAGAATCACACTCCAGTACTGAAGTAAACGTATACTGTACTGTATCACTTAAACTACACTTTTTACACTTTGTACATTTATGTCATTAGATCTGTGCTGTACAGCTCAACTGGCACTCCCAGGTAACTTATTGCTGGTGCTGGGTGTTGGTCCAGTTGCCTGGGCATCCTCAGGTAAGTCCTTGCTAGTGCTGGGTGCTGGTCCAGTATCCTGGGCATCCTCAGGTAAGTCCTTGCTGGTGCTGGGTGCTGGTCCAGTATCCTGGGCATCCTCAGGTGAGTCCTTGCTAGTGCTGGGTGGTGGTCCAGTATCCTGGGCATCCTCAGGTAAGTCCTTGCTAGTGCTGGGTGCTGGTCCAGTATCCTGGGCATCCTCAGGTAAGTCCTTGCTAGTGCTGGGTGCTGGTCCAGTTGCCTGGGCATCCTCAGGTGAGTCCTTGATAGTGCTGGGTGTTGGTCCAGTTTCCTGGGCATCCTCAGGTAAGTCCTTGATAGTGCTGGGTGTTGGTCCAGTTTCCTGGGCATCCTCAGGTAAGTCCTTGCTAGTGCTGGGTGGTGGTCCAGTGGCCTGGGCATCCTCAGGTAAGTCCTTGCTAGTGCTGGGTGGTGGTCCAGTATCCTGGGCATCCTCAGGTAAGTCCTTGCTAGTGCTGGGTGCTGGTCCAGTTGCCTGGGCATCCTCAGGTGAGTCCTTGATAGTGCTGGGTGTTGGTCCAGTTTCCTGGGCATCCTCAGGTAAGTCCTTGATAGTGCTGGGTGTTGGTCCAGTTTCCTGGGCATCCTCAGGTAAGTCCTTGATAGTGCTGGGTGCTGGTCCAGTATCCTGGGCATCCTCAGGTAAGTCCTTGCTAGTGCTGGGTGCTGGTCCAGTTGCCTGGGCATCCTCAGGTGAGTCCTTGCTAGTGCTGGGTGGTGGTCCAGTGGCCTGGGCATCCTCAGGTAAGTACTTGCTAGTGCTGTGTGCTGGTCCAGTGGCCTGGGCATCCTCAGGTAAGTCCTTGCTAGTGCTGGGTGGTGGTCCAGTGGCCTGGGCATCCTCAGGTAAGTCCTTGCTAGTGCTGGGTGGTGGTCCAGTGGCCTGGGCATCCTCAGGTAAGTACTTGCTAGTGCTGTGTGCTGGTCCAGTATCCTGAGCATCCTCAGGTAAGTCCTTGCTAGTGCTGGGTGCTGGTCCAGTATCATGGGCATCCTCAGGTAAGTCCTTGCTAGTGCTGGGTGCTGGTCCAGTATCCTGGGCATCCTCAGGTAAGTCCTTGCTAGTGCTGGGTGCTGGTCCAGTATCATGGGCATCCTCAGGTAAGTCCTTGCTAGTGCTGGGTGCTGGTCCAGTATCCTGGGCATCCTCAGGTAAGTCCTTGCTAGTGCTGGGTGCTGGTCCAGTATCATGGGCATCCTCAGGTAAGTCCTTGCTGGTGCTGGGTGGTGGGCCAGTATCCTGGGCATCCTCAGGTAAGTCCTTGCTGGTGCTGGATGCTGGTCCAGTATCCTGGGCATCCTCAGGTAAGTCCTTGCTGGTGCTGGTCCAGTGGCCTGAGCATCCTCAGGTGAGTCCTTGCTGGTGCTGGGTGCTGGTCCAGTATCCTGGGCATCCTCAGGTAAGTCCTTGCTAGTGCTGGGTGCTGGTCCAGTTGCCTGGGCATCCTCAGGTGAGTCCTTGCTGGTGCTGGTCCAGTATCCTGGGCATCCTCAGGTAAGTCCTTGCTAGTGCTGGGTGCTGGTCCAGT